GAAGGAAGGCCTTCCCTTGTACTGAGCATTATTCCTCATCGGTAACTCTCCTGTCGCTGACAATTTTTGTCTCGAATATGATTTATCACAGATAAATAAAACACACTTGCCAGTATTCATTTAGGGTTGACACGGAAAAATAACCTTTGTCAAAGTTGCCCGTGCCCGGATTTACACGAATGCACACTAATCTCCAGAAAATATAAGTATATAATATGTAATAATATACAATTTATACATATGTGCTATCTAATATTAGCATATTTTTCTGCTCATCAGTGACAGTTCAGATGCATCTGGCGCGGGTTGGGCATGGAGAAGTGAAACTATGTGGATTCGCATGACAGACACCTAGAGTAAAAAAACTTTATTGCAATCATGGTTGACAGACTGCACTTTAGGTAAACATCCAGTACGATAAGTACGTTTGGAAGGAAGGTGTTCTGCTCACATCATGGCGATGAGTAGTGGGAGGACCAGCTGCGAACTTAACTGGACTCTATGACTGCCAATGAAATAACCGTTTTCTCTGGGATAGATTTAATTGGTCATTCTTCCCTTGTCCTTGACAGATGAGTTCAATTCTTAGTATCATCTTCTGGCGGGCCTAGGACTTTCCACGTGGGCTTTAGAAGCAGTCCGTTTTCGGCTGCACATGACACGCCTGTAGGCGTCAGTTTTCAATAGATCAGCTGATTCGCACGTTCATTGGCTTTCTGGTTTGGCTGAGCACATCAGGCTACCAAGCGGCCATCCAGACTCGGTATTAAGAAGGCATCACGAAAACTGCAGTCTAAAACAAAGAGGATACCAAGTCAGCTGATTTCGCAACCTTCGCAACTGCTTCCAAAAGGACGTACTGTATTTTTCACAGATTTTCAAGGACTAGTGTTGTGGACCACAGTCTCCTCAATGCCTTCTTATTACCGTGAACTCCGGTCTGGATAGCCGCTTGATCACCTGGGGCACTTGGCCAAACCAGAAAATCAAGGAACGTGCCAGTCAGCTGGTCTATTGATCACTGTCGCGCACAAGCGGGTTAACAGATGATGCTGAGAATACAACTCATCTGTCAAGGGCGAGTCAAGAACAACCAATGAAATCTGTCTCAACGAAAGCGGTTATTCAATTGGCTGTTATGTAGTCCCGTTACATTCGGAGCTGGTTCTCCTAATAACTAACTAGGTTATCTGCGAACTGAGTGCGAAAGAGTTCAACTCAGGCCCTGTTGGTTGTCGGTTCACAGTACAAATGCCAGCGGGTACAATTAATAAGATTTTTCGAAGTTTCGGCTACTGAAGGTCCAGATGACTGACATTAAAGCTAATATGACTAGTTTTTTTCGGAAAAGTTTGGAAAACAATGGACAGATTTGTTGTCGGGGCCACGTTTCGCGTTTAACAAAAAAGCTTCATCAGGCCAAAGTTGCGCGGTTGGTCGAGATGTAAGGCAGAAGGAGAACTAATCAGCTAGTTCGGACCAAGTCGGTGCTAGATGGGATTTTTTTTAGGTGGATCACCAAATGCGAACCTTCATCGATCTGGGTCCAGTTTGAAGCCTAGTACTTCCGATTCGCTGCACGTCAAGATTTCTCTTGAACATCGTCTGTACGTTTTGTCCGTCCGTGTGGATTAGTTAGTGCTGCAATAGTTGTGTGAGGGATTCTGGGAAGGTTGGTCAGATTGGGATTTCCATCCCTCTTTTTATTGATGCTATGGATACTGACAACCCCACACCGTCACTCGTCAACCCTGCTTCTCTAACACTATTTTCGATATGCTCACCAGTTCCACACCTTCTATTCCATTCACGCTGTGATGCTTAGTGATTTCCACAGCCTCAGCGAACAGCCTCGGTGGTGTGAATCGCAGTCCTCATCTTCAAACTTCTCTACCGTGTCTAAGGCGTGTAGCTAGCCCAAGAATGATCACCTTTACAGTGATTGATGTGAAAGTCATGTGTGTCTTGTCACTTGTGGCAGGATGTAAGAATTGTTCACACCTGACTTTCGGACTTGGTTGTGTCACGTGCGGCCTATTGTGCCTGAGTCATCTTCGTGTGATGCGTCAGACCGGACCGGTTGACAGACAGATCAGTGCCATCAGACCGGCTAGCATACAGAGGCGTCAAGTGAATGACCACCTATCAAACACACCACTTATGTGCATACATATGAAGATTTTGCTGCGGTTTATGCATGTCTTCAATGCTAACCCAATGTTCCTCAGTTAATACATGGGATATGATACCTGAATTTCAACCCTATTTGTTAAGTCCGTCCGCCATTCTTCGGGTAACCCCAAAGTCTCGCTCATCTTCACTCTGCACTTTAAGAGTCACGTGGATGTTGAGGCTGGAGAGCATGAAACGCATGATTTTAGGTGTATGCTGCCTGTACGGAATCCGCTCCCTGTCTCGGGACTGTTGCTTGTTCTCATTAGCGGACAAACAAAATTTCAAACGAGTGATTGATTTCGTAATCTGACTCAGTCGACTGCCACGTGATCGACAACCAATTAACGCATCCGATAACGCATCAATATTTTGACAAACTGCCAACTGAGCACGTGGTGATATTATGTTGGAATATCGGTAGCTCGGGCGAAGATGTCTCCTTGAATGGTGACGAAACGTTTGCAAATCAATTGCCAACCTCGGCGAACAAATCAAAAGCAACCTGATCAATTACCAACTGTTTTGGCCACTTATACTTCAGATCAACTACTGTTCTCTTTGTGGGTAATTTCTACCTTTCGCAGACCGTTCTAACAAGTCTGTTCACATTGACAGATTTGCCAACTACTCCGGCTTCATTTTGACGATATGTCGGAGAACCGTAGCTAGGATGTCTTCTGGTTTTTGACCTGGTGACTGTTGACTTGTTCGCCGAGCTTGGCAACTGGCGAGCTAACATTTCGCTCCCATTTGGAGGGACATCCGTCCGGCTGCTTACTGAACAGGTCAACACAATTACCTGCGCAGTGTTTTCAAGGTGATTGTCAGGCTCGGTGAGTACTGCGCCCTCAAATTCAGTGGTGGGCTTCACTAGACTGAAAAGGGTAGCTCGCGCTATTGCTAGGTTGTTCATCCATCTTAGTAGATGCACACAGGTGAGAGGCGAAATCAGTGCACACCTTATTCAAAGAATGTCAAAATTCGTCATTTTTGGTGTCAGAAATGAAGTTCGCCGAAGCTAGAGGGCCGTATATATAGGACAATTGAAAGAGCAGCCTTATTAAGAGATCTTAATGGTTTTCAAACAGTTGACTGACTGAACTGTTTACGCAGAAATGCTGCACAAGAGAATACTTGTTAGTGAATCAGAGTCCCATGGGCAACAAGTGAAACTTACCGAGTTTAGTTGGTTGGGTTATGTTTTATTTATACCGGACTACCGTCTTCCGAAGAAACACTGTTTTCGCGAAATACTCTGAATTGCCTACCAGTCTGATCCAGATGGAATACTAGGTTCCAGGAAACTCGGGAACTGCGCCCTTCTGAATCGCGTCATGAAGGGCGTAACCTCTGGTGAACTATCGAAGAGTTAAAACCGCGAAACATTAACAAGGAGAGTTGAAATGACTTCAAATAAAAGCCACTACCGTATTGGGGGATTCCCACACTTTCCTGGTCGCAGTCCAAGTGTTTCTACTCGCACGTGACGAGAAAGCGTGTAGGATACGAAGTTCAACCGATCCTAACTACGGGCATGACATTACACTCTAGGCGAAGATGATTCTGACCTGTCCCTCGTTGAGCAGCTCTAAAACGGTTGTCCTGTGCGCAAAGATCAACCTGATAACCATGCACGTTATCAACAAGCTAGGTAACTGGATATGATTTGCTAACAAACTCCTTGTTCGTGTTCTTGCCTTCAGTGATTGAACTAGGTGCTGGCGGCCTCCACTACTTCTGGGAATTTGTCTCATTTGAGGCACAACAGTGGTTGCGAGCAATCGATAAATCATGATGTCTCTGATCAATTCGCTCATGATTGTTCAGTAAGCCAGACAATTAGTCTGATTATCGTTCAACGTCTGTTCCACTGGTGATAAAAGTAGAACTATAAAGATGGACAAATTGGCAGACAACAGGTGCTGTTCGGCTCACCTCACCTTTGGCGATGAAAGCAAATTGTCCAACAAAGCCACCGAAAGTTACAGGGTGTTCGTTTTTCAGCAGGGAAACGGAATGGAAAATGAGGAATAAAACGGATCCGATGGAATAGAATTCCGTTTGCGGAACCGAGCTCAAGTCACCACATATTCGATAGTCTGCTGGCCGTGTAGGATACCTCACAGGTTGCGTGCTGTGTTGTAGAAAATTGGGTTCTTCCGATGTGTCGACGGTTGTAAACAAATCCACATAATCAAGACATCTAGAAGAAATGATGAAAAATAAATGCAACGCGTTTTCAGCAACCTCATGAGTAGTTTGTCACTTTTAGACAAAAGTAAACGCAGTCGATGGTCAACAAAAGCATAGAAGGATCGAAAAAAAACTTGAAGAGTTTCCACAGAAGGCGGTTGTTTGAAGATTCGTATGCAAGGCTATTCAGTGGTTTTAGGGGATCAGCTCTTCGCGTTACCGGCTTGGATGTAACGGACTAAATACGGGGCTTGGACACCTGTAAATTGACTCGACAGGATATTTATATGATTCAAGTATTTTTCACAGATCTGTGATTGCTCGATTCTGAGAATCTTACTGAGGAATTCTATCCACTTACCAAAAATTTGGTGCACACACATGTGCTGAAACGGTCGATATCACTCATTTGCAAATCAATTTAGTTTTCCCGAGAGACTCAAGTGAACCTCTCGTTTATGATACTCTACAACTGAATGTGCTGCACACAGACCGCCTCATGTTTCAGTTGGCACGATATTCGAGATATCGCAGTATATTTTCAAAAAAAAACTGAGTGAATGCGCCTGCCTGATGAACCCCAAGAAGGGCGAAACCGGTCGTGGGCAGTCGAAGAGTTTTCAGCAACTCTGTGAGTAGTTTCCTTTATGGAAATATAGGTCGATATCACATTTTTCTCAGTTTCATACCGTTCCAAATAGATGAGTCATTTTCCAAGGGCAACACTGTCACGTGTTTCCATGTTATTTCGTTTCAGAAAACCGCGGAAAGGAACGGAGGAATAGCAGCCATGTTGCTGTAAACGTGGTTTATCGTTTGGAATTCCACCTATCCAAAGCCCCGAAAAGTGGGTGAATGACAAGGAGGATATGAATTCAAATCCGTCACAGATTCTTGTACATTCAACACTATTCATTTCAAAGCAAAATCACCATCGTAAAAAAGTTATTTTTTCATTTGTGTACCCAAAACAATAACTTTATTTCGTCAGAACGAAGCCGTTTGCACCTAGACAGACTGTTATGCGATTGGGGACAGCTTGTGTGTTCGTATTTGTGAGAGAACACCAATCTCCTAGAGTGTTTCCGACAGTGTTCCTTGTCAACAATGACCCAAAGTACTCCCATCTCAAATGACTATTCCGCTTCATGACAAGTACCTCGCCATCTTGCCGTGATCCATCTTGAAGTGGTTACTGCAAACCAAAGATAGAAATTTTCAAAAACAAATTTTTCGTAATGCATCTTAGTATTGATCTAGTTCGTCTGAGTCTATCAAAACCACAGAGTTTGGCAATACACAATGATGGTTAGTGGACTAGTCGTGTTTTCACTCATATTTCCTTCCCGCCTCACAGACTGACCCTGCAACACCGTATCGGGTTGGGGAAGCATCGACCAATTGCAAGTAACAACTTTGAACTATGAACAAAAATACCTATACTGCAAAACCCCGAAAATTGCAACCAAAATTCTGCCCAGTGGGTTTCAAGCGCGGGCCACGCTACCTGACTGGGAAGTCCTGACTGGCGGGTCACTTGATCGTCAGAAACAAGACAGTGACTGGGTCGTCGTTCGATGAGTCGGGCACACCAATCACATCACTCAAGTGTGAACAGGTTCGCCTGTTCAGACGTGATAATTCAGATGAGTCCAACGTGCTTTGGTGGAGTAGTGGTTACATGCTCGCCTCGCAAGTCAGATGTCCGGGGTTCAAGTACCGGCACGGCCATTGGATATGCCCTGCTGATGAGCTCTAATAAGAGCGAAACTCGATTCCAGTGCTTCCCCCCTTTGGTGTGAACTCACCGGAATAATTACGCCAGAAGAGGAATACGGTCGTTCAAACGAGAGTGGTATGGCCATGAACAAAAATTTGAATCATTTCAGAAGAGCTTAGTAAACAATCGGTAGTTTTTATTTGGGCAACGTTTGGCTTTTGACACAAAAACTTCATCAGGCCAAGTGAACAGGTCACAAAATTGGTCAGGTTATAAGACAGACGGGGAAGCAATCAGTAAGTTCTCTTCAGACTAAATCAGTGTTGAGTGTCAATTAACGGTTCTTGTCGGCTAGTTTGGGTGCCAAAATCTTGAATCGATGTGTTGGAGGGTTCCAAATTAGTTCTGATCGCTTTTCGTTCCTTAATCCTCCACTTCAGAGTGCTTCACTTGATGATTCGCCTCGGGTGCCGCTGTTAGCCCCCACACTAGCCGACAAGAGCCGTTAATTGACACTCAACACTAATCTAGTTTGAAGATGACCTACTGATAGGTTCCCCGTCTGTCTTATAACCTGGCCAATTTTGTGACCTGTTCACTTGGCCTGATGAAGCTTTTGTGTCAAAAGCGAAACGTTGCCGAAATAAAAACTACCGATTGTTTACCAAGCTCTTCTGAAATGATGACTTCTCAATCGGTTCCAAACTTTTTCCAATTGATTGAAAACTTTGAATCGCTCGACAATGGCTAGCAAAGCTCTCCAACTATGTCAAACTGGAGACCAATGGTGTAGTGCACTACTGCATCAGTCTCAGAGACATCCGAGTTGTCCGCGTTCTGTATTGCTGCCACAAGTCATACTCATGATCTTATTTTCCACAAAAAAGACGGTCTTAATCGGTTTCAAATTCAAGTTACCCCCGAAGAAATTAAGCAAGAGCAAAACAAGAGCAGGGCCAGTTGAAAATTTGCGTCCCAAGGTTGAACGGAGCGCCAAAATGGCTCCTGGCAACACCTACATTTGTGCACCGATTCAGTAACGATTTGATCAAGTGCTGGACAATGAGCGGTCACTGGCGAACTAATAGAATGAATTGCTTTTTTCCACAGCAGGAAAAGGTTTACGTGTGATCGATGTCAAAGAAAGAAATCACAGGACAAAACGGATTGTATTTCCAGTCGAAATTTCGTCCAGCTAGACCGAAAAACTGTTGTTTTATCCTTATTGAAAATCATCAGAAGTGAGAATCTCGTAAAACTCTAGGGTTTTTCGAACACATGACCTCCGGACCAGTACTTCATTAGGTGAGCGGTCATCACGGATAGATAATTACACCGTGGAACGACCGCCTAGTAGAGAAATAAAAAGCCCAACCGTTTCAAATAGTGCGACCACGTGGATGTGTTCCGGATTATCCATGCAACCAGTCAGAACAAAATCTTCAAGCGTGGGAACTGCTCCGTCCGCTTCTGTGAATGAATACCTCAGCTTCACATAAAGCGTATTCCTGGGTATTCTCATGGGGAAGCTACTCACAAGGTTGCTGAAAACCTTTCGACACCCCACTACCGGTTTCGTCATTCTTGGGGCTCATCAGATATGCGCAGTCCCCGAGTTTCCATCAACCTTATGTATTCGCGGGTAGTTAACACTGAACCCTGTTTACACCAATTCACGCTTCAAAGTTGTCATTTAAGTTGGTAGTGTAATTAACTTTCATTCAAAGTGGATAAAGCGCCACTTATTGTTCACTCACGCAAAACGGTTACGTGTTGACTGGCTCCTCGAATGAAGGCTTCACTTGTCGAGTGCACCTCAGCTTTTCAGAAAGACTGGCTAACTAACAAACTGTCCAAAGAGTTACTGTATAACTGTTGTGTTATGCCTGTACACAGGTGTGCGATAGTTAACAGTGCACAGCTTGTCTTGTGATCGTTTGGAGTTATCAGTACTTACAATTTTCCAGATTCGCACCTACTTCGTATAAACGTAGCTTGGTACAATTCCGGCAGAATGTGTAGCGCCCATCAGCTAGCGGGAAAGGAGAGAGATCATGTCAGCAAATGACCGATCTGACCGCTTTTTTGTGAGTCACAAGAAATCAAAGCAGACTTCTCTCGCGTTTCGTCTACAGTCTGATGGTGACTAACTAGCCAATCAGATCAAAGAAAGTGAGACGTCGATTATGAGTCATGCCTATCTTGTTTCACAATTGCTAACCATACGCACCCTTAAGGACACTCACTGCACTAGCCAGTACATGGCTCATCCATTCTTTCTACCTCCCATGTGGTCTACCAGTTTTTTAGGTGGGACAACGTTCTTATCGAAGGTCTGAACAGATCTCGAAGTAGCAGATGCGGCTAAGGAAGCCGCCAAGTTCCACAGGTCACGCCAAAACCCTGGGTCATCGAACGCCAGCCATCTTGCACTGACGATACAAATTGCTTCCAAATCTTGCTACGAATCTATAGCCCAAATTTACTGGTATTTACCGAGACCACATGAAATAAGGCGCACTAATCAGAAGTTTGTGCTCAAAAGTAGTAACTCAGACCTTGTGTTTATCGTGACTATGGTCATGTGACCGATTTCTCACGGCCAATCAGCGCTCGTTTTTTACGCTTGTCGTTTGTCGTCTTGCACTTTTCATTTGTGCGACAAAAGATGGGAAAATAAATGTGGTGTGTGTCCTCCGTCGGCCTTGACACAATGGAAAAAGATAGAAAGACATTTTGATTTGGTTTCTTGAAGCGTTCTAGGGCGTCATATTGCCTCTCAATAGATATTGAAAATCAGAGAATATCGCAATGAATGCTTTTCTTCAGGTGATCGCCCTAGAGGCATCTGTTTGTACCGAGGTTTAAATCTGTTATTTTTCCAGCGGACAGGCAAATATTTTTCCAGCTATTCCCAATCAGATAAAAGTTAAACCGGGTCCACTACGCAACCTCTAAATCTCCATCTCTGGTAACGCACCGTATGTTGCTGACCAGTGTCTCTTCAACTTTGAACGAGCCATTGGCTTCGTGGCTGGGCTAATTCTTCTGAGTATCTTGATTAGAAGACAAAATCTCGATTCGAACTGGTGGGAGAGATCTTGAACTAGCATTTTGTCATCCCTGGTTCGAATCCCACGTGAGTGCCTTCCGATTGGCTGCTAGTCCGTTTTAAAGATAGACAGTATCCTCTACGTTTGTATGTAATCTTGACACCCTTTAATGTCATATCACATGTCACTGGGACTAAAAGTCAACTGTATAAAAGTCAAACTTCCCCCTCAGTTGTCTCAGAGTGCACATTCTAATGAACTAAGATTCTAGATATCCTATTCACATTTTATTTTTTGACCGTTTGTCGGCGTTTTTGGTAGATTATTAGAAGTGACCCCCATTACGTTCACATATGACTGGCATTTTCAGAGTGAAAGACCATAAATTTTGATAGATGCATAAACAACGAGCGACAATTAAATCCACTGCAAATTTCTTGTTCCCTGACTGAAATGAATCGAGCGAGAATGACAAACTGCTTTATTTTATTGATAGTTCCTTCCAAACAGATAGAGAACCTACAAATACCTCAACAACTGTACCGGAAGTAATAAGACATCATTTATTGTTTTAGTATAGTTTAGAATGTTGATGGACTAACAGATATATATCTGAATCCCAGTGGTTAGATATTTCTGAGCGATGTTCAATAATATTGAATTTTGAGGAACTGTCTTGTGTTAGGCAACTTTAGCAGACGACGAATAACTCAAACAACATGAGTCCC